AGATAGGTTAATATTTCCAAGTATAAATCTAATCAGTCTTTAATGTAAAATCTGTAGATGTTATACGCTCACCACATGATAACGATGGTGATTGCAAGTTTGTCAACCCTTAGGCTGGAGATACCTTTCAAAAGCGAAGCCTCGAGGTAAAAAAACGTGCCAGAAAACACTGAAGTGTAAACAAAACCATACATAGATAATAAGAATTTCGACATGCTAAGAGTCCTCTGCTTTATCGATAACACCCATCACGTAAATCTAGATCAAATCCAAATATTGTCATGTTCTCAAAGTGTGAATCGGGGCAGCGTCAACACAACCACAAGGTGCATTACGAGCATATTATAAAAAAATATCTTCACATAGTATAAGAAATCCCTGTGAAATCATGATTGCGTATTAGAAAGCTTGTTAATTATGAACTATCCCCCGAAATAGAAAGATACGTTTTTACATGATGAAATGATTTTTATGAGTCCAAAGTTCTGCGCTGGTCATCTTCAAAGGGTAGACATATAGAATCATTCACCCCCTTGGGGGTGAGATAGGGGAATCTCAACCCGAGGGGGAAGATTCTTAAGTTGCCAAACACGAGGCTTTGCCGAGTGTTTGGCAACTGAAGAATCTTTTCCCGAGGGTTTAGATTCCTCTATCTTACCCACAAGGGGGTGAATGATTCTTTTTCTCTTACCCTGTTCTTCCAATGTGTATCATATACACAATGTAATGACAACGTTACATGCTAAATTCAGGGTTGACGTGTCGTTGATGGATTGTTGACGTGACGTCATTGTATTGTTGAAGTGACGTCACACCATTGTTATGAATAGGGGAATCCCCCCGTCTCAGCCCTAGGGCGGAGACAGATAAATCTAGCACCGGCAAAACGGTAGATACATCTGTCAGGTGTGGGAGAAAGAAGAATATTTCCCTGGCCAGAATAATGGACATCTGACCATGGTCATACGCAGAGAAAATAGCATGCTCGACAATAGTCCACAGCCATGACATGATCATATTATTTACATACCTTTTATACTGTATTATCGTAGAGAGATACGGATTCATGAAAATATGATCATGGACAACATTTTATGCTTGCCATTATGCATATGTTGAGAAATATTCTTTTTCCTTACAGATTTGATCCGAACTTTGTCCGATCTTTTTGTCACTAGAATGAAACCCCTTCCATCGCTGGAACATTACGCCGCTACTTTCCTCCAACACCGAGTCGATAACTTTACTTCATTTGGCCTTTCCGAGAACGTTGACGGCTGATCAGCGGTATTGATTCAGGTCCTCGTTAGCATTGAAGCACATTTGTCGTCTTTCCTAATGCAGTTGTTCATTTAGGTAGCTTGTAACAGAGTTGTTAAATAATTTAAATGATAAGAGTCGGAGAATGTCTGCTCCGGAGCCGAAAGTTTGGCGTGAGGAAAATGGAGAAGGTTCAGTGTGTCATATTGGTATATCTTCCCTACTTCATATTCTAGCAGTTTTCTGACTGATTTTTGACATCTGCACATTTGATGTTAGCGATTAACTTAAAGCCAAGTAAGTTCGTTCATTTGATCGATCTGGATGGTAATTTTCGGCAAATCAGGGTTTCGACGATCTCGCGCACAACGGAGGCAACCTAACAAACATAACAATTTGCTCGTAAATGAGGAATGTGGCTTGACCGGAAAAATGTTTGTACATAATGCTGGTCCAAGTTTAACGTCACCTGTCACTATATTAACAGGAATTACCGAGGGCTAATGGCTCATCAGGTCCAACGTTGCGTTTTCTAGGGGTGGGTATATTATCGAATTTGGGCGAAGGATTTTCATTTTACCTCTTTATCTCTCTGGGGGTAGACATGCTGATAGATTAGGCCATTTACGAACGTAAGTATTGAATCGGTGCATTTGAAAACGAATAACAGAGTTCGAAAGTTAAAACACAAAATTGTAACAGAGAAAATCAAAACCCTACTTTGTGTATCTTTCACCAAGACGGACGAGATTCGACTTATTGTCCTTACATGAAAAAAATGCGGGTTTATCTGCCCGACTACGCTGGCTTTTTCTGGGTCGTCAACAGGTTTCCTCTGATATTTAGACCCAATCCACGCTTCCACGTGCTGTATAAAGTGCACCCCGTAACCTCTACAGCTTTATCCTCTGGCCCTTGAGATGAATTCCTTTTAACTCAATCAATAGCGATTGTAGTCCCGGGTTCGACCACACGGACATGAAAATTTGTTACAGTTGGTGTGTTTGGATCTTGATGTGAAGATTAGTATTAAACGAGTTAAAGATTGAGATCAATACTACATAAAAATGTCAATCCCTAAATGGTAGTAAAATGTACATTTGAATATACATGTACCAGAAGGATGGAAAGCTTTTGCAGTCGAATTCAATCAACGCCAATTAGGTTTCTCGTAGCAAAGCTATCATTTCTGATTTGTGAACTTTTCACTGTAAGTTATAGGTTTGGCTCTGGGATAAAGAAAACCCCATGTGTAAATATAGATGACATATACTCATTTAAATTCTTGTTGATCTAAATGCCTTGAATCGTGATCCATATTACCTTAATGGAGGGCAAATTGGATTTCTTAGTTTTGTACATATTATCACGCACCGTTTTATGCATACACAAAGTCATATATGTATATTACTGAATAAAAAATTAGCATTATATCCATTGCCTTCTAAATACACTCGCCCTTTCGATGTTTCAACTTTTTTCTCAGTCATTGTGCCCCTTTTGAAAATGTATGAGGTTTACGTCACGCTCTTGCGAAGACCCCCCGACACTTTTGCTGGTTATTTATTTTTATGTTTAAATGAAATAAAGTAGCTTTCATTTGAAATTAAGTGCAAACCGAGATGAATTTGTGGCATTCACGTTTTTATCGAGTCCGTGGGGGGAAAATAAATAAATGCGAGTGCCGAAAGTATGTCAGGAAATGTATAGAAAGAATCACGAAATCCCCACTAAAGATTTGCACGAGCATGACGTCTACCTCATGAATATGCGAAAAGTGGCACAATGATTCAGAAGAAAAAAACCGAAAAACAGAATACGTTTGCGGAAGAAACAGATGCCATGTCAGGTTTAGAAGAATACATTTTACATTGATATTGAATATTTTCCTAAGAAAAAGTAATCCAATTTTTCCAAGGATAGTAAACATTTTTTTTTTACGCCCACTAGAAATGTCATTCTGCTACAAGACAATAAGCCGGAGTCGATGTTTTGACATCGAGATTTTTACATTTATCTAGCATCAATATAACTACTGTAAGACATTATCATACCCCTGTGGGTTCACGTGACCTTGGGCTGCACTGGTGGCGACGTGGGGACCTGTGTGCTGTGTTCGATAATCTCCTTGTTTATTGTTCTAAAAAACAATTGTGTTTTCCAAAAGACTCGTGGATTAAGCTGAAACGTGTCTTTTGTTGAATAATAGCCTTTTTTTGCATGTGTTAGTGCATGAAAGTTTTATGCAGATAATTTAGTATATAGTCAAACAAGATTAAACATATATTCAGATGTCGCCATTGGTATAGGCTTATGCTTACACAGAAAGCAAACTAGAAACAAGAGTGTTTTTTTATTTTTAGAAAAATACCTTCGCTGTAATGTATGCCGATATATATATCCCCTGCACTTCACATGTGCATTTACATCTTTTAGGGAAAAGATAAACCTGTTTTACATACTTAGGGAAAGACAACTCACATGCGCTTTTATTCTGGAAAGGTCACCATCACGACATAATTTTAAACATTTATGTCCTTGTTGTAAGAAAACGCGATTCTTTGTTTCTTCTCGATTCATCGTATTTAACTTGGTCTTGTGAAACATGTTATGTACTGTATACGATAGTAAACGGAGGGAGAATAATCAAATTCGGGATAAAATTTTGAAGCATAGCAATAAAAAATGTCATCAATTTCTCTAATCCAATACTTTCTACGTGTACCAAGGCTTTTATTTAATGTGTATCCGGGGTAAAGGACTTCAGACATTTATTTAGGCTCAAATATATATATATAATAATAATAATAATAAGAAGAAGAAGAAGAAGAAGAAGAAGAAGAAGAAGAAGAAGAAGAAGAAGAAGAAGAAGAAGAAGAAGAAGAAGAAGAAGAAGAAAGAATGATATCCAATAGCAGGTGAGGTTTTTACTCCAGCTGAGTACAAGAAGAAAAAATGGCGACGAGATGGAAGATGTCTGTGCTAAATTCACCACAAGTGAGTCTGACAAAAATGATAAACTTTTTATATTTACAGTAATTAATTATATAATTGATATCAATTTTCAAATTCGATCTGTCAATGATATCTGTTTTTTAATGCGAGTGGCCAAACACTTTTAATTAGCTGTTCCGGTCGATTACGATATAAACGCTGGGACAAGTCTCATGCTACATGAACATGTATGTAACGGAATAAAGACCATTATGATATTGTGATTCCCACTTATACGACATGTCCCTGTGCGTGTACACAATTTGTAATAAACATCTCCTGCCAAAACTAGAATGAAAAAATTGGACAGGAAAAAACCCAAACAAATCTATTTAGGAATATTCATAAGGTTTTAACAAGCACAAATCCGTCGTCTGTAGGTTTTCAAGTGTATAACTACGGAAGCTCACCCGTGCCATGATAAATCTATGATAAATGTGATTATGAAATATACACAATATTGAGTCAAAAAGTATTACCTTTACTCGCAATCTTTTTTTTGATAGATGATTTTATTTGGTACCAATGTTTTTTTTTATTTTACAGACTATTTCACACGTAATACATAACATTGATACAAAATTAATACAATGTAATACTGAATAAGCAAGAAAAAGGAAACACGTTTTTTACTCTTCACCTCTCTGGACCCGCCATTGTTTGTCTGTAAATCGGTTTTACAGACGCCCCCTAATTCGGAGAGGTAAGACGTCAAAACGCTTACAATGATTGACGGGCTTGTCCGTTTGCCCTTCAGGTATACGTAGTAATAACAACGTAAGGCACAGCCGACACATAAGCCGATTACCCAAAGTGTCTCTGGTCTCCGTATCGATTTGAATTTCTGATTTACAGAGTTGCAGGTGCTTTTAATGTCATGATGAAAGAGAATCGGTCTTTAGGAACAGTTTGGGCGTAAACAGCGAAGGAAAGACGACACAATAATGTGTTTTGTAGCGACAGTGATGTGTTTGTAAAAACAACATGGCTGCGAGGTATTATGTACTTCCGGTTGAAAACAGGTACGGTAAATACTTCTGTTCTGTCTGTGTGTCAGAGGCCTTGTTTGGCTACACCTGGTAGACGTTTTCAATTAATGTCATGCATAGTTATTTTCTCGAGGGTGATAGATTAATCAGATTTATGATACACGTGTTTCACTGGTAGATATCTTAATATTGTTTATAAATGTTTATAAATGTACCGATTTCCTGTTCCTTTCCTGTTCCGAAAGAGATGTATCTCCAAATAGATGTAGATTTAAATTAAGAGGCATATATTCATTCAGTTCACGATAAAGCTTAATTCTTTGTTCGTTATATATATCACAGGTAAAAACAGAAATGGTGTGTGTCTTCAATAGGGAAGCCACATATACAACGTTGGTAATCAATGAGGTTAACACGAAACAGGTCACTTTTCAAAGTACTAGAACGGTTTCTTAATTTTGTATGCAAAATATTATTTTCCTATCACCATAGAAAAAGGGGTTTGGTACAAGCGGCAAGTTTACGTCTTGAATGGCGTTTCTAAATGATGAGTACGTGGCACTACGTCGTATACTAGTAAGTAACTGGTTCCACAGTCTAACAGTAGAAGGCAAGAAGGAAACGTTAGATAATTCAAGTCTGCTGTTAGGTAGGTTGTAGTTTTCAACGTTTCGAAGATTATAGTGAGAGTTATCGACAAGGGAAGGGAGGAGAGTGTTGAGATAGTTAGGGGCTATATTATTGTGGATTTAAAAAAATAATTGAAGTTTTCGACGGGATCTCCGATGGGCTAGAGAATCCCATCCAGTTTCATTGTATATAGATTGCCTACTAGTAAACGACGGTAAACCAGTGACAATGCGTCCAGCTTCAAGTTGTAATTTTTCTAATTTGTCTGAATCAGTAATGGAACAACCATCCCAAAGTTCACAACAATATTCTAGAATAGGAAGTATAAATGTTCTATATATTTTATTCAGTGTACGTCGGCTCAGGGTATATTTCAATTTACGGAGGACACTGAATTGTTTAACTACTTTTTTACATATATTATCAATGTGATAGGTCCATTTACAGTTAGCATTGATGAATACTCCCAGATGCTTATGATTTTCAACAAATTCAATACTTACATTATTAAAGTTAATTTCAATGAGGTGATCAAGATCAATATTAGAAATAAGTAAAGCCTCTGTTTTTGCAGGATTGAATTTGACAAGCCACTTATCTGCCCACAATTGTATATTCACTAGATCATTATTAATTTTTTGTTCAAATACTTGTGGTGATTTATCCGAATACAAAAGAGAGGTGTCATCAGCAAATAGTTTTGATAGACTTTCTATATTATCTGTTATGTCATTAATATAAAGTATAAACAGCAATGGGCCGAGAACCGAACCCTGAGGTCTCCTGCATTTGTTCTCTTAGCAGAAGATCTACTATTTCCAATAAAAACTTGTTGAGATCTATTAGTAACATAATCAATTAACCAGTCCAATAACTTTCCCGATATTCCATAGCTAGCTAGTTTCACTTCCAGTCCCCTATGCCACACTCGATCAAACGCCTTAGAAATATCACAAAAAATTAGACAAGTTGGCTGTTTTTTTTCAAGATTGTCGCACATAGTATGATATATTTCTATAAGCTGGTGTACAGTAGAGTGACCTGGTTGAAAACCTGACTGATATTTATATATGAGAGAATTATCTAAAAGGTAGTTATGCAAGTATATAGCGACTAATCTTTCGAAAACTTTACCGATAGTACTTAGTAGTGCAATAGGTCTATAATTTGAAGGGTCTTGTTTATCGCCCCTTTTAAAACACGGCATAACTAGAGCATGTTTCCATTGTTTGGGAAAAGATCCAGTTTCAAAAGATGAGCGAAAGATCAATGAAAGAGGATAAGCAACTGAATTAGAGGTATTCTTTAGCATGGTATGACTAATAGTATCCTTTCCTACAGCTTTACCGATTTTTAATGTCTTTAGAATGTCGATAATGTCATTAATATTAAACGGTATGTCTGAAATGGTCGAGTCTGTTCTAGGTTCTATAACAGGTACGTCAATGTTAGTATCGTCTAGAGTAGATATTGAAACAAAGTAATCGTTTAGTATATTAGTCTTTATGTCGTCATCCATTTCTATATTTCCAGTCGCACTCCTTAACGGCGGTATACTATTAGATGTGTCGGATGATTTTATTAGCCTGCGGACTAGTTTCCAAAAGTTTCTAGGATTTGTATCACTGTAATTGTCTAAAAGGCCGTTTATGTCCGCATAAAATAATTCTTTTGTGTGTTTTTTTTAGATTGTTTACACCATTTCGTTGTTTCCTAAAGTTGTTCAAATTATTTGGAGTGCGATTGGATTTATATTTTTGGAGAAGTCTGTTTCTTTTCCTTATTTCACGTCTCAGGTCAGAGTTTAACCAAGGTTTGTCATTAGGTCTAATTGTAACAAATTTGGAAGGAATACATTCGTCAGCTAATTCTAAATATCTAGATGTAAAAATGTCACACATATCGTCCGGAGAATGGATTCTTAAAAAAAGTTCAGCCCAGTCAATTGATAAAAGTAAATTGTTAAACCGTTCGTAATCTGCGTCCTTATAACAAATAATTTTCCTCTTATAATTTCTTACAATATTTGTCCCCACAGAGTCCATGTCTCCTACTCTTACATAAGTACTTCCGAGTCATTGTCTTTCTGTCTTGTCCGTTATGTCCGTTCGTCTTGTCTTTTTTTCTGTCTTGTGCATGCTTGTCTGGCTTTTTCTTTCGTTCCGCCCCCCCCCCCCCCCCCCCCCCCCCTCCCTAAGCACATTTTACTTTTTTCTGTCTGTACGTCCGCTTGTATGTATGCACTTTCATCTTTGTACTTGTGTCTCTCTGTCTCGGTCTATCTTTTTATGTTTGTACATCGGTGTTTCTGTCCGTCTATCTGTATGTCGGTCGGTCCATCCGTCTGTCGATCGGTCGGTCTGTACAGTATTCTTCAATCTGTTGATTATTATATAGATAAGTCCCCTCAATGTGTAAATATTATCTGAGAAAGACGACTGCTTAAATCGATGTGTCAATTTGTGATCAATATTACTTTCAGGTCGGAAGGTCTGCATGTGTGAATGAATGCTGCTCGAATATTAAACAGTTGGACTAGGTCATCACACACATATGACGTAAGTAGGCCACGAACATCCTTTGCACTATGGAAAAATACATATTCGTATTTGCTATTTTTACTTTTTGTACTATAGTCATTGCAACGCTGAGTGTCATTGCAATGAAAGAGGAACCAAAAATCACCAATCCCTGTACAATGGACGACTATCTTAAAATAATGACGTCATACATATCGCATAAAGGTGTTATCAAGTTCGAAGCGGAACTTTCGGAAAATTGCCGAAATCAGAAACCGAATCCGGAAGAGATAAAGAATTTCCGAAAATCTTTGATTAATATAATAAATTCGTGCAATAGCATCAAAAGCGATGTTAGAAAAACCATTCGGGAGCCAATAATGACATTGTTTACGTCCGTAGATCCTGACCCGAAACACAATGAGGTCACTGAGCGTACATTGAAGAACTGGGGATATTTCCTGCCTTCCATTAACCTTGTTATGTTTACGAACGACACTCGTATTGCAAAACAATCGCGGGATCACGGCTGGTCAGTACTTCCGGTGGTAAAGGTTGGTGTTGAAGGACTACCAGTGCTCAAAGCCATGTTTCAACAAGTCATACAGAATTTTAGCACCCATTATTATGGTTATGCTAACGGTGATATACTTTTAACAGAGACTCTGTTAGAAAGTTTGTCAACTGCTCGAAAACATTTCAACCGCGACGAAAATGTGATGCTTACCGGAAGAAGAATCAACGTTCCGCATCTGACTAATAAAGAACTGGTTTCTTACCAATACATGGAAAAAGTGGCAAAGGAAAGAGGCAAATTATTCGTTATTTCATCAGAAGATTATTTCATTACAACGAAACATTTTGCATGGCAGAATATCCCAGACTTTGTAATAGGACGACCAGCTTACGATAACTGGCTTGTTGCGCATGCGCGATGTAATAATATTAAAGTCATTGATACGACCAACACGATTTTAGCCATTCATCAAACAACTGATAAAGGAGACAAGACTGGGCATGCGCACAGCAACGCAAACTATAACGATGAACTATTGGTCTCAATACAAGCCCCACGTAACTACGTGAAGGGGTTCATCACGTGCCCGGAATGGTACTCGTTCGAAAATTTGTGTGGTAATGTAGAAATTGCAAAACGATTGACGATTCCTCCGGCATGCGCGTGCTGATTCAAAAATATGACATACTGTCTCAGTAATACCGGATGTTGCAATATTAAGAAAATGAATATGCAAATAGTAATGAAGCTATTTAGTTCCGTGAATAGCAATGAGTGTACGTGTTGTTCCGCAGTACTAATCACAAACCGGAAGCGTTTATCAAGGGAGAGCATCGATACAGCATTTTAAAACTGTTTTAGTCAGTAACTAGTTGAACCGCGCATGTGGATAAGTCAAAGTCTCCAAGACGGTGTGATTGTGTTCGGAGAATTACATATACACTACAGTGCAGTGAAACCTGCCTAATCTGACACCCTGTTGGACAAAACATAAAAAGTCAGATGAGACAAGATGTCAGAACACACAAAGCTTTTTGCATTGTTTTCATATGAAATACGAATACAGTATTTATATTATGTTGGCTGAATACAAGATGTCGGAATATATAGGGGTCAGATTAGGCAGATTTCACTGTAGGTGTTAGCTGGTATAACTAAAAATAACAATACTGTTTTGTTGTTGCTATCTACTAAAAGAAACTTGTTGATTTTTATCACTGTGAAATAGTCATTGCTATTTGAAGTTTATCTTCAGGTTAAAAACGTTTTTTGTTGTGTTTGCGTGCGTGATTTTGATAACAATGGTTTTCTTTTAACAAACATCGGTATATATTGTTTTCGTGTATATGTGTAATAACGCCTGCTTAGAATGCAATAAATATTTTTTTCCAAAAATGAAAACAGAAAACATATCTACCAGAAAGCCCCTTCTCATTGTTCTTGTTCTTGCCAAAAGGAAACAGCAGTGTTTCTTTATATATCGAACTTTAAAATAAGCATTGTTACAAGATACTATACTAGTAAAACAATTGTGATGGTACATGTTTTAGTGAAATATTATCAGAGTGTCTGGCCTGGTAGAAAGTTTTCTGCAGTTGGCAGAAAAGTTAAAATTGGAGACTAAATGTTGAACTCAACGTAAATCAATAAAGACTGAATATTGAAATAATTGAGACTGAATATTGAAATTATTGAGACTGAATATTGAATAGTTTAAGACTGAATATTGAAATAATTGAATATTGAAATAGTTGAGACTGAATATTGAAATAATTGAATATTGAAATAATAGAGACTGAATATTGAAATAATTGAATATTGAAATAATTGAATATTGAAATAATTGAGACTGAATATTGAAATTATTGAGACGGAATATTGAAATTATTAAGACTGAATATTGAAATTATTGAGACTGAATATTGAAATAATTGAGACTGAATATTGAAATAATTGAGACTGAATATTGAAATTATTGAGACTGAATATTGAAATTATTGAGACTGAATATTGAAATTCTTGAAACTGAATCTTGTCTATCTTAGACAACTAGTGTATGTCTGAAGGAGATAGCTCAACATGGGCTGCACGCTTGTTTCGTATCCTGTTTCCGCCCTACGTACTGATCTGAACTTGTAGTGATTGTGTGTGAAATAAAATGTAGTTAACATGAAGCTTAATACGGAAGTAAATGAGATTGAGTGTTTAAATTATGGAGACTATGATATATATTATTGAAATTGTGAATTGAAATATACGACTACGTATGTTGGAGTTATTGATGTCGATTATTAATATTGAAGTAAATGAAATTGAGTGTTTAAATTATGGAGACTATGATATATATTATTGAAATTGTGAATTGAAAAATACGAGAACGTATGTTGGAGTTATTGATATCGATTATTAATATTGAAGTAAATGAAATTGAGTGTTTAAATTATGGAGACTATGATATATATTATTGAAATTGTGAATTGAAATATACGAGAACGTATGTTGGAGTTATTGATATCGATTATTAATATTTAAGTAAATGAGATTGAATGTTTAAATTATGGAGACCATGATATATATTATTGAAATTGTGAATTGAAATATACGAGAACTTATGTTGGAATTATTGATGTCGAATGTTGAATTATGTGAAACCAAATGTTGAAAATCAGTATGCTTGTTGGAAATTTGTAGTACTTTTTTCATCTTATATCTAATATCTGATATAACAAATGAGGACTTTAATTTCGATGAATATGTGTTATATGGACCTGAAAAATGATATTTACCTCGACTTCGACTTCGTCTCGGTTAATATCGCTCTTTTCATGTCTATGTAACCACATGTTCACCTCAATAAAAGACCATCATTTGTAGTCTGTTATCCTTAATCGCCTTGTGTGTTGTAGCAAAAAAATAGCGTTAGTGTCTATTGCAAATACAGATTACACTGTGTGCATAAAACATCATTCGTAATATCAATTAAAAAAAGTATTATAATTCGGTATTTCTAATTATTTCGAGCAGACATAGAGGGGTTTACGGAAAGATATTTTTTTTCTTTGTTTTCAAAATGAAGACATGTAGACACTTGCTAGTTTTCACTGACTTTTACATGTACTTATTGTTTACGTAGTATATGCTAGTAAGAATATTTTTCTGAATTGTTTGTTTTCTTGCAATAAGAATCCGATTTATTATTTGAATTGTTTGTATGTCGTTGTGCTATCTGTATGATGTGCAGTGTTTGAATCTCTTTTTGATATATTAATAATAAAAAAGAAAGGATTTCAAATGTTCTTTTCTTTATTTAATCCGTGCTGAACGTTGGAACATCTAATTTTTGCAAGCATACGTTTTCTATATCGACAGAGCCTGTTTTGAATTAGATACAAACAAAACAGACCAACAACGTGAACTTATCTCGATACGAACTTGAGACTTTCGGTACCAGAAAAAGCTTTGTTTTAAACCATTCGACGGCGTATAAAAACAAAACCGATCAAACCCGGGAAAAAACAAAACCGGTGTATTTTAAATTATTTGGAACCTACTTTGCAATTTGCATATTACATACAAATAATGCACTATTGGAGAACCAACGTTCATATTTAAATGATTGTGACGGTATAAAACCTAGATGCTGCAAACCTATTCCGTTTCGCGGAAACGTAACTTGGAAAAAAGGATTGAAAGCGAATTCATACTATAATAATAAATGTTTAGTCCTTATGTTTACGTAAAAACAACAAAGTAGGTCATTTTAGATATTCTTAGGTAATCTGTTTTGGTTAATTATATTTTTATATCGCTTTTCTCGATTCACACTTATAGCATGACCAAACAAAAGACTTACTACTAAGATATACGCTAAACGGAACGATTTCGACTTTCCTATCTCGAACTTCCCCTTTGCTGATAGTAACATCCCTGCTTCCCCTACCTACGATATACATGTCGGGGATGACTGGTTATTAAAGAGCTTGCTCCGAATATGATGACCTGCGTGATAGATGTCGACTGCTTACAGACACACTTACAGCACAAGGTCTCCAAAGTTACAGTTTGATGAAAACTATGGTTTTATGGTAGCCATTATGATCTGAAACGGAAAACATTGTAAAACGTTTTCCTTTGCATTTCATTACTCGGTCTTTATTGAACATATTTAGTTTAATGATAAAATACTAGTGGATACTGCAAACGTAAACTCGCCTGTACAATTTCATTCAAAACAGCGTTACGTATGTACATGCATTATGTTTTTTTCTCACATCCAATGCAATCTTGACTAAGATATAAAGTCTATAGTGTACCAACACACTTTAAGCCGGTTGTCCCTATATCCGAGTAATTGTTGTTAGAGACCTACTTACAATGCAGTCATTTTTACGGTTCTTGAAAAAACCATGGTGTGACACAAGCTAGCCACGTGCGTGTGGTTACCCTACGAGCTTAAACACGTGCATCATGTTGTTCGAGCGCCATCTCCTTTTTCGTTCAACCTGTGCCACGAGTAAGTCCCCAAACACTGCCAAAGACGCGATATCGTGATTATGGTTGATTTCTATAAATGTACCTTCGGATTCACAATTCGGGCCATATTTCGTCACTCGGAACCTATCGTTACTATTCACAGCGTAAAACGTACCATTAGCGCTCATCGCTCCTGTTACCAACCAATGGACATTCTGTAGTGAGCAGATAGGTCCATTAGAGATATTCTTTGCAGAAAATATCGTGGGTCGATAAGGAAACATGTCCGTTATCGTTGGAGCACTCATAAAAACCCGTTCCGCGCCTGGTTCCGAATGAAAGAAAGAGATCATCTGTTCATCTGGTGTTGTTAAGTTCCCGAGCCGTGTCCCATTTGTATCATACATAAATAGATATGGCGTACAGCCGACGAATAATATGTTGTTAACGAGAGATAAGGGGCTGGAGCATGCGAACTCCCAGGGAAAGGTTTCAAAAAATTCTATAATAGTCCTAATTTTCATTTCCCATAAGTCCACTTCAGCAATGATATAATTTTTGTTAAGATTTCTCAAACGCACGAATATTTTAAACCCTTGGATGAGCGTCATATATGTTGGTTGCAACGGTAAAACACTGAACTTTCTCAGAAATACACCTTCCATATTGTAAAGTCTTATCTCAAAGTTCGCAGCGTCAGAAACTGCCAGGGTACCGTCTGCTAGCACTAGCATGTGATATAGTGAACACGGGATGTACATGTAATCTGCGCATGCGTCGAACTTGCTGTATCTGTATACTCCTTGCGCCCAAGAATCTGCAATAATTGATCAAACAAGCATTCATAAGATTAACATATAAAATGTAAGACAAGGATGACTGGAGAAAGCGGTTTTTACCACTTCTAAATGAATATGATGTAAGTAGGAAGATCTGTTGATGAGTTACTTCTTTAAAAGAGTTTTATTATTCATGTAATTGGATAAAGAACAAAATCCAAATTTTAGCAGAAAATGTTAGATAGCGCAATGACTTTAATTAATATGTATTCATTTAACTTTTTTTGCAATCTTTTCGCATAAATGTAAGTAATACAAAAAAAGCAATGTTAAAAATCAGCGCAATTTCCTTAGGAAAAAACCAACAGTAGCAGAGAAAGACAACAATGAGAAAAAAAAAGAAAGAAAAACAATATGGAACGGTCAAAGACAAAAACAAGAACAAAGAGAGAAAACAATAGGGTACAGTCAAAGACAAGAATAGAAACATAGAAAGAAACCAATAGGGAACAGTCAAAGACAAGAATAGGAACATAGAAAGAAACCAATAGGGAACAGTCAAAGACATGAATAGGACAGAGAAAGAAACCAATAGGGAACAGTCAAAGACAATAATAGGAACATAGAAAGAAATCAATAGGGAACAGTCAAAGACAAGAATAGAAACATAGAAAGAAAACAATAGGGAACAGTCAAAGACAAGACTAGGAACAAAGAAAGGAACCAATAGGGAACAGTCAAAGACAACAATAGGAACATAGAAAGAAAACAATAGGGAACAGTCAAAAATAAGAATGGAAACATAGAAAGAAATCAAAAGGGAACAGTCAAAGACAACAATAGGAACATAGAAAGAAAACAATAGGGAACAATCAAAAATAAGAATGGAAACATAGAAAGAAATCAAAAGGGAACAGTCAAAGACAACAATAGGAACATATAAAGAAAACAATAGGGAACAGTCAAAGACAAGAATATGAACATAGAAAGAAAACAATAGGGAACAGTCAAAAACAAGAATGGAAACATAGAAAGAAATCAAAAGGGAACAGTCAAAGACAACAATAGGAACATAGAAAGAAAACAATAGGGAACAGTCAAAGACAAGAATAGGAACATAGAAAGAAATCAATAGGGAACAGTCAAAAACAAGAATAGAAACAGAGAAAGAAACCGATAGGGAACAGTCAAAGACAAGAATAGGACAGAGAAAGAAAACAATAGGGAACACTCAAAGACAAGAATAGAAACATAGAAAGAACCCTATAGGGAACAGTTTAAGACAACAATAGAAACAGAGAAAGACACCAATAGGGAACAGTCAAAGACAAGAATAGAAACATAGAAAGAAACCTATAGGGAACAGTTTAAGACAACAATAGAAACAGAGAAAGACACCAATAGGGAACAGTCAAAGACAAGAATGAAAACATAGAAAGAAAACAATAGGGAACAGTCAAAGATAAGAATAGAAACATAGAAAGAAACCCATAGGGAACAGTCAAAGACAAGAATAGGAACATAGAAAGAAAACAATA